TTAAATCGAGAAACGCTGTTATAATGCTAATGGTTAAATATAAATTAACCGTGCAGTCAACCACAGGTCAACTGATTTCTATGCGACTGGTTCATACCCGGCCATTAATATTAATAACGTTGCATCTGTATGTATCGACAAAAAGGTGCATACCTGCGATCGTAATCATATATCAAGGATCAATATATCTTCTGCCCCACGCACACCACCTCTTCGGTACACTCGTATACAACGCAACGTTATCCATTTCAAATTTCCATAGTCCCAAATCCTGAAATCATCAGATGTTCAAATCCTCGAATCTTCAAAATACCCGAAGTCGCCAATATTCCAAGTATCCCAAGTCCCGAAGCAAAATAAAGCAACCAGTGATAGTAGAATTATCCCGCAAGAGTTTACGGTTGCAGTGTACATAGGAGCCTATATAAAGGTAGCAAGTCGTCGCATTAGATTTTTCTGCAGTACCGTATAGCGATATATTATTGCAGTGCCAAAAGTTTCCTGGTCGATGTATACCGGGTGTCCTGTTACGACTCCTCTATCATCCTCGACGTTGTTTGGCCTCGAACCGACCAAAGTTTGCCGAACTTTTCGAGACGACGGTGTTCGTGCTTCGCGTGATTAAGCAACTTTTCTCTTCTCGATCGGCCAATTATGATCACAGACATTTGTTTGATTCGTGACTGAAGCTCCATTGATTCGATCGCGTGTTACCCTCGGGTGTTCGTTTGACACGCGCTCTACACAATTTTTTTAAACATTTCTTTACTTACGCCTTCCAACTGAACTTTATCAGGCCTTTGCTAACCTTTACGGGGCTTTATTTAAACTCTGCGCGATACAGCAAGAAGTTTCACGGGTGATATGGACGTACAGGCTACTTTAAGAAGTTGAAAAGAAAGTATATCTTGCTGTAGGTACTTTGAGGTTCGTTCGAATTAGTCTCGATGTGCATTCGGGTGCAAATAATGGAACTTTACGACGAACAGGTTTTGCACACAAGTTTTGCCTACAAGTCCCAAAATCCATACTTAGTTACCAGGACCTTAAATTTCTCAAAATGCAAAGTTGGGTCGTCTAAAAGTCCCGAAAGCTCCGTGTGCCCCAAGGCGTGAAAATGGTAGAAAAGAATAATTGGCTACGGACAAAGAGTTATTAGCGATTGATCGGTAGTACTCGAAGATAGCGTTGGTTGTAATCCCATCGGTAGCGGCTCGCATTGATCGTCGCACGTGTAGATCGAATGGTTCCTCGCGTGCTGGAAGGTCTTCAAGTTGGCAGCGATGGGTTGGGCACTAGGTCAGCCTTTCGGTCGGCCGCGAACCGCACGATATCGTACCGCAACGCCGTATTTCAACTTCTCGCCGAATCCGAGCACACTTTTGCAGCTGCAACCGCACGATATCGTCCCGGCAATGGGAATAACGGATCGAAGGTCAGGAACTGGGTTACGGGGAAAAATGCGGCGAGCCTCGACGTTTTAATTCATAGTCACCTCGCTTGGCTCCTTTCCTTTTCCTTCCTTACGATCATTACTATCCCTGAGGTACTATCGATATCGGCTTATTCCGAAACTCGGGCAAAATCGAGCGTAACTCGTGCTTTTGCGCGCTGCAAATTTCCTGTCTAATACGAAATATCGAGGATTGTTATTAATTACTACTCGTTATCGATTACCTTGGATAACATTAGTTAACTTTTCAATATACAAAATAGATGAAGGGGTTCTTAATAAAATAAATTGCAACAGTGTCGTATGTGTCGAAAATATATATATCCAACCGATCTATTTATCTGAATTATTTATGAGATTCAAGAGAAATGTGATGTCGAGCCACGTTCGATATAGAAGTGCGAAGTAAAATGTATCGTATAACAGCGGTATAATGATAATGGTAGAATTGTAGCATGTTAGTTTAGAATAACAGTAGTACACTATTTACTCGTATCGAAATAACCAGATTGAACCAAATTTAAAGGACAGATTAATTTTAATCTGTTCGACGGCGTACGAAATAAAAAGAAGCACGGTTTCATATAGGAAATCGAAGTCGTTAGAAAATCCGATGCTGTTACTCGGTGCTAAAATTTCTTCTTCAAAGAAACACGGACTCTGCACTCGAATAAAGGTTCCAGAAGAATCTCGTTAAGTCAATAATTCGCGAACGATGAATCAAAGGCTGTTCCAGCTGGTACGTTGGAAAGTCAACACGTCTGTAAGCATCGAACGGTACAATAAAAAAAGGATCCCTGGTGAATTTAACGGTGCTTCGACGGGCCAGCTGAAAGTGTTTCTAAAACGAGACTCAACATGGCTCACGGTAACAGTTTTATACGCTGCGATATTTTCTCGCGGGCGCAAATATTCGCGCTGTAAATCCTTTAACGTTCGCGATCCGCTCTAAACAATAATAAGCGAATGTTAGATTCCGGAGAACATAATAGCGAGTAAACGGCGGATAATTCGCTCGATGACTCGTATCTTACACGCTATCGACTCGCACGTTCGCTCGTGCAGCGTATACGCGAAGCGTAAACAGTCTGACACGATTTCGCCATACAAAAGTATCGCGAAACAGCGACGTATTCATCAAACAATTGTAGAAAAATGATGCGAAGTACGTAATTTGTTTCAAAATTGTTCAAAACAACCGTCGGAGCTACAATAAAGTCTGTAAAATCCCATCGAAAACGTGGAACTCGATCGACCGATAAATCCCAAGTTCGATAAATCACGTCACAATTACATTAACCATTTTTATCGCGGTAAAATTACGACCGCTTCGGTGGTACTTGCCGTTTCGTTTTTATCGACTGGGAAATTCTCGTAACTCATTTTTCTACCGATCCGTTCTGGATTAAATTTCGCGTTAATCGAGCGAGTTTCTCGATTTCCGCTAAGGAAAACGAACATAAGTTTCTAAACGCGTTAGTATGCACGTAACGTAATAAAACCGTGAGCGTGTCGGACGTTGAGTTTATAAATCATATTATAGTTTTAACCTAGTAACCATTTTACACTTGCCATGGAACTGTTCAAACATTTACCATCAGACTTGACCGGAAGTGGATGAAACGTCAGCAGCTGATGCGGTTTTAGCCAAGGCACTGGCACCCACTGTGCCTTCGTATAACGAACGATCATTACGACGTATCCCTGACTTTGAATTCGTTAGCTGTCTATACTGCACAACATAGCCTTCTTCAATTTTTCATTAGCGCGAAATGAAGGTCGTGGCCGATCGATAATCTGAAAACAAAACGTGGCCACACGTGTCCCGCCACCGGACAAAAACGATGCCCGCCACTTTAACGAGCCCCCAAGATGTCGCATCTCGAATTCCCTCACGAATTAATCTTTCTTCTTTTACGTGTTCAATCGGGGATAAATTGCTTCGAAATGAAAATTGACGAATTCGTAGATTCGAGAAGAAAATTGGTCGATTAAATGAAATTGGTCGGGAAGCGACTGAAATTTCTTCCCGTAAAAGAAGGTCGTGCCTGTCGAGAAAGCGGCCTTGAGCGTCGAATTGATTTTCGAATAGCTACATAAACGTTCCACTAGACGATACTCGTGTCTTATGCAATTCGACTGCTTAGAATGTCGTTGAGTCTCGTAAGAAATTCCCAAACTCGTAATCATAAGGAGGATAAGTTGAAAGAAGTCGTAGACATAGGCTTGTTCGTAAGGAAAGACGCGGGACTGTGCCAGAAATGGCGATCGCGATGTCGGTCGGAGCCGGTGGTGGGTCGATCTCGAAAATAAATCAGGGTCGATTAATGAGAAAACGAGTGGCCAAAACGATTAGTCGCGGAAGTTGGCCGATCCGGAGTCCGTTGGTTTAGGAACTTTAATTGGCGCCGAATTAATCGATGCAACGTCTCGATTCCCGCCAACAGGACCGAGTCGTGACGGATTTACGTAACGCGATAATTACGCAAGTTTGTTCGAAAGGCTTGTTCCTCTTGCGACAACAAACATTTCGTCGTTCTAGGATCTCGCAACCATCGGGAGAATCCGTCGACGAGAACCACGTTGCTTCTCGAACTTTCAAATACTCGAACGTTTCTCCGTGTCCGCGTTTACAAGTTTTCCAAACTCCGAAATTTCGACTCGAGTTTTCAAACCGGAATATCGTAAATCATAAAATCTCGTTTGGTTCGCAAGCGCAGCCATCGGTTGCCCGCGAGCTGTTGGTCGGACAGTCGATTTGCCCATCGGTGTCTTCCGTATCCGCGACGTTTATCGAACGCGTGGGGTCGTCTTTGTCCCGTGACAATTCTCGCCGCGTTACAATGGAGTTCACCGCGAGTTATCTAGAAACTACGACGACACGGCACAGCAAATATGTACAGTTATCCGTGGTCGTGTGGTATCTTTCTAACGAAGATGACAGCGTTTCTGCTGGCGGCTCGTTCGAGCTCGCGTTGCTGAACGGCCCTGACCTTACGGAAGCAGGTTCGTTGAACCGTTCAATATAGAGATGTCAATTGATCGCACGATTGCATCAAACGCTGTCGACACACGGATTCACTTTTTCAATGGCTCGTACACGGGTTTCGTCGTCCCGATTCGAACGAACGAAACGAATTACAGCACGGCTTTCAGCAAAGCTGTTAATACGCGCGGGACGGATTCGAATAGATCGCGATGTATCGGTCGAAAACGTTTGTTGCTCCGGAAAAAATGTTCACAGGGTTTTACAGCGTTTCTCTTTGACCAAAATGTCGGAATTATTATTTTACCATTCGATTACACTCTGCTTTTATACGTTGATCGTTTAGAGCAGCATGTACAGGTTTAATAATCTCGCCGCGTTATAATTTTCCGATTAAAAACATTTCGGAAGTATTCCGGTTGCAGATTAATTCGGAAACAGCGAGTATTTGAAATGGCGGTAGATTCGAAGTACGCGTAAATTCATGTAGCCGTTAAGTCCTTTAAACTGTATGAAAGATGAGAACGAAAACGAAGGACGTAATGATGCGTTTGTTTGCAGGCAACGGAAGCACGAGGCGAAAAATGTCGGCGTCGGCGCCGTAATTGGGCGATCTTGGTAGAAAGGAAGCCGAGGGACGAACGGAAGAGGCGGGTAAGGACGAAATGGCGTCTACGAGCGGGCACAAGAGGAACGGCTCGAGTTCGAGCATGTTCACCCACAAACGCACCGAGTCCGGCGGTGGTTTTATCGGCCACAAACGTTCCGAGAGCGGTCACAAGCGGGCCGAGAGCATATCCAGTGCCTTTGGCCACAAACGATCCGAGAGTGGTCACAAGAGGAACGAGAGCGGCGGTGGTTTCGGGCACAAAAGGTGACTCTCCTCCGCACAATTTCTCGCGACGTCGTCGAGGGCTCTACTCCGCGGACCAAAATTCCTCGCCCCGGTCTTTCTTCCCGATTATAATGGAACGAACTTCGGTACACCTTTGCCCCGAAACTTTCACGCTTACCGGCCTAATGCATTCTCTTTCCCCGAATTTCCAAACTCGGCACTTTCAAAAATAGCACACTCGATAACTTAAATATTTGATTTTAGAACACGGTTACCCGTAAGTTACAAACTGAAATAACAAAGGCACACGGTAGATGATTTATTTAAATCAGAGGTAGTTGCAAACGCGAGTACGCAATTTGCATGCATTCTGTTGAACTGATATTCTTTGAGAATAATACGAGTAACACAGGGGAGGTTCTTGTTACCTCGCAGAGGAATACGATCCTTCGAACGAGGGGTCTACGTGTAATGTTTAAATAAGTAGAGGTTCCGCGATTCAGAGGCTTCCAGGATTCTTTTCCCTTCTATCCCTTCTTCGTTAACGAAAGCGTTGAACATTACGTTTGTCAAACTATAAACAACGTCTCCCTTGCTGATGCTATACATCTAATTTATTATTTGTATTTGAAATAACCATAAGCCCTGTAATGGGTATGTCTTCGAGAGAGCCTGTCGACGACGGAGTTGAAACGAAACTAATCGACCTTCGGGTTCCAACGATTTTTCAGGTCCGAGTCTGGCAGCAATTACCATGCCGGACATCGAAGAAACGAGAGCATGTACGCGATGACAGGGCTTTACGCGGAAAGCACTGGGACAACCACCGACGAAACTACAGACCCATTGCAGGCTACCGGTACCAGCAGACTGACCCATGACACTGTCATTAGGTGTCACAGTAGAAATCCCAGTTCTGGCCTCGTGGACCATAGGTAAGAGCCAACGTCTGCCAACGGCTGCCAACAGTGTCGGCCGACGTTGAACAGCTGCATGAATTGCACGCTGGTTTTACGAATGATTTATGAATCGCAGGTTTTCTCCTTCTTTGGCAAATTTATGATCAGATCGAAGATACGTGTCGCGTTTATATCGATTGCGAATATTCTTTAATATACAGAACTTGACGCGTTTCACTTTTAAAAAACTAAATACTGCTATCTGATCATAGGAACGATGTAATAATAACATGATGGACGATGATAAGTATTATGTACGTGGTGGAATAATGACTACTAACGTTTGTTAGTTCGATGAGGTTCAGAGCTATTTTATTCGATACCGATCGTTGATATATTTCAATCGAATAGTTGCTTCAACAACGCACAATTATAGCCTGTCTACATTGCAGACCTAAGTTCCTTTCAGGATCCTCGCTAAAGATATTGAATCATTTCTGATCAGTATTTCCGATATCAACTATTTTTGAAACATAGGTGACTCATTTGGTTAGTTATTAAACTCTGCATCGTTAGTCGATCAAAGTCTATCGTTAAGACCTGATCAGTAAACATCGTTACAAAGATTATGGTACCTATAGCATAATGCGAAGATGGATATCTTTCTTCTAAAAGCGTCTTCGTTTATAAATTTGACGAAATCGCTAGGTAATGACACAAGCATAAACTGATAATCTTATCGGTACCAGTTTTATAAGCATTGACGTAACTCGCGTAATTCTTCGTCAAACTTACTCGTAATCTGAAAAATAGAGTAAATACTAAAGTGCTGGAAGAAAAAGTGTTTCTTCGGAAGATTAATTAACAAGTGCAGCTGTTCTGCTTCGAATAATCGGGTTTCCTGTGGTCTGTGAACTAATTTCTCACTTGTACGGAATCAATTCCACACCTTCGTGTTTGTCGTTTCCTACTGATTATTGTTTCGTTGCTAATTATATTAATATTAACGACATAAAGATATTTGAGAAGGTTCTAAAATTTTTGTCATCTTTTCTATGAAAAATGATTCTTTATATAGTATTCTAATACTGTTCGTTAAGTTTGTGTCATTAGCAATAGTCTTCTTGGAGTTTATATCATTATTTTATATAATCGTTCCTAAAAAAAAAGTACAGAAACAATTTAAATACAAAGAATCATAATGCCTTTTGTTCCCAGCAAAAAGCGTGAAAGCATACAAAGATTTACGATAGTACCCTCATTTCATTCAGCATTCGAGCATAGTATAAAGACTCGCGATTATATTTCCACCACATTCGAAAGCATTTTCTTTCACGGAAGAGTACGTTCTGCCTTTTAACCCTTTCACAATTTAAAATAAGAGCCTTGGGCAACGCGTTTAGCCTGGAACTGTTTTATTTATCGGTGCGTATCTTTATGAAACAGTCGAATTCATTATTGCACAATATTTATTCTAAAAATTTTGGATTTCAGGATTTAGAGATTTAGAAATTTAAGAAATTTTAAAGTCCAGATAAAGTGCAGATTTAATAATGGACGACCCTCCACCTTATGTCATTTTTCTTCCAGAAAACTACCGTGCTCGATAATTGCCTATATCTCGGTCTACGTTAAGGCTTATTACTACGATAGAGCAGAAGCATAATCCGTAGAGGTCCCTATGAAAGTTCGCGTAGAAAGCAGCATAAATCACTATAATATAACGAGAGACCATTGTACTTGTTCGTCGTACTCCTCCGTGGAAGGGTTAAGCAGTTTCCGTTCACTGAATTCGTTAACCGTATTATGTAAAATAACGATTGTGCGTAACGTTGAAGCAGCTAATGCGATAAAACGCGAAGGAAAAAAAGAGAAAGCCGTTTTAGAGTGACGAAAATATTTCGGCGGTCTTCTCTGTTGCGAAATCGGAGATCTTTGCAGTACGGACCGTTTCTCCGTCAAATTTACATGCAGAAATGGTACTGAAACGACCCTCGATAAAAATTGCAACGTAATTCTTCTTTGAAATAGCAAACAGTGAAAGTACGACCGTGACACATTTATCGTGAGCAAAATAGATTGTACACTCTTTTGTAATTGTTGCTTTCCATTTGAACCTGTTCTCAAATCATTAAACCGATGATTAATGCACGACGAGAGTCCTTTATAACCTATGCGTATCTGTATATATTAAATGTTACAACTGTAAATGAAAAATGACAAGTCACAAAGATATTCGTAAAAACTTGTTGTTAACTCACATGCACGCATTCATTGTGCGTCATTTCGCACGAGATATTCATGCTTCCTGTTTCTTGTTCTTACAATTTTTCAGAGATTTTATCATCAAATGTCACAGCAGGAATCCCAGTGCTTCCATGGTGGACAGGTAAACGTTGCACGAATCTATCGTTTTGCATTTAACCGAGAAAATACTAACCGAACTAAAAAGATTTGCATTTGTTTAACTAACTCCGATTAATATCGAAACGAGTTCCACGATCCTTAGACTGCGGCGGTTGCGAGGACGGTGCAATTTATTTTAAAACAATTACGCGTAGTACCGCGAGAGATACGATCTGGGAAGCCAGAAGGACACGAAGCTTAAGTCAGATTTCCTTTTAAGAATAATCTTACTCGATGTAGTAAGGATTTGAAGCAACGCCAAGTAGACGGTGCTTAATAAACTCGCTTATTCGACTGTTCACATGGGAACAAAAATAGCTGCGAATTAGGATTAATGGAATTACGGCTCGTTAACTTGGAAATGCTCTCTCTGGACGGGACCCGAATTTCCTTACGATCGAATAACTGATTTTTATTTTATTCTCGGTTTCATTCAATTACGGATTTATTCGTAGCCTTCGATAGATGCGATCAAGTGGCTTTTTCGAAATTTCGCTATTTAAGGATACGAAGACTTTGGGGATTCGGAAATTAGAAAAATTAGAAATTTGTTCATTTAGAAACTAGATTTACTAATTTGAAAATTTTTAACACTGGTAATTTCATAATATCCTAGTCCCTAATCTAGTCACATCAGCCGAAGTTAACCCGTCGCAGTCAAAGGATAAATCGGTATCATATCTGCTTCTCGTTAGCATCAAAAAATTTCTAGACTCGCAACAATGTCGTTAACATATTGTTCTTTTTTCCGAAACAAATGGACAAACTCAGAACGGAGAAAGAGAGGCCACAAACTCCACCATTTAATCCGGATTCGAAGGACTGTGGAATTCTGAGCTGCAGGCCGGCCTTTATACAGAGATTCGCCGGAATAAAGGTTGGTAACGAGCTATCCAGCTTGTTTACTTTTTTTCAGTTTAAATACGAACAAACGGTTAATTTTACCTTACTCTTGCGGTACGACTTCTCCAAAGGGTTAATGTTCCTCTTACACGTCGCAAAGAACGTGGTTAATGTATTTGTTCTACCTAGCAAGTAACTCTGAAGGGTTAATGCTTCTGTTACGTGTGCGAGCTAACTCGTGTTCAGGGTTGGTTTAACCCTCTGCGCTCTGACGATCTTATTCGTCGCCTTATGCGATACGAGGACATATTTTTTACGCGTTTAACTATTGAATGTTTAATCTCCCTAATTATTGCATAAGTATTACGCTAAATACTGCTGAACAGTATTACACAAGAAAGAGTAGGTAGAAATCTTAAATTTCAAGATTATTCGCACGCTAATCAAGGTTTTAAGATATCTTATTACGCGCGTCTATTTTCACCATAGCAGTGAACATGTCAAGAAAGGAAAACAGTGTATGAGGTCGTTAACGACCCCACCATCTTTCCGTAGTTATTATTAGCAAATAGTTTGAGTTTGGCTCGCTTAGTATTCAGCATCTATCTTCCATGATATATATCCGATAGTCCACAGCGAACGATCGAACGATACCGATCGTTATCCTAAGTCTCGATGACTTAAAACCTTTCGTGGAATGTCGGCAGCATTTCAATGTCGAGTATCCTTTCCAATGGTGACTCACGACACCTGGTTTGTACATCCGTGTACACCATACACGGTTAAGTCGGTTACGATACAATGTGCGTCACCGAAATAATTTAACAAACTGCGCCGGTTCGATTTAATCCTTTGCGCTCTCAGTTATTTTTCCACGATTCCGCGGTATTTTCGAACCGAAAGTAATCCTTTTACTTGAATATTTCATACGCTAAAGTGGTTTAATGGTATTTAAATTCTTTGCAGAATTTTATTACTTAAATGAACCTTGTCGGACCACAAAGTTTAACACGAACGAATGCAAATTAATGAGAAATTCAATTTTCGAGAGTGACTTCATTTAGTAGCTGCGCGGTGTAAAAGTTAATGAAGATAGATTCTGAAACTGATGAAATATTTCGGTTTTTCGCTGTTTCATTAAGCGTAGCGGAACATTATCATGGAAACGTTTTATCCTGTTCTCATCATCGTTAATGCGGCGTTTTACCTTCGTTAGTTAAAATGCACTCAAGGGTACAATGGTATCGAATCGATAAACCTGCTGCTTATCTAATCGGGCTTAATCGTTTGATCCGACAGCAGGGGGTATAACTAAAAATCGGTATTATCGACGGAACGAGTTTTTTTCTCTGTCGAGTATCCTTCGATTACGCGTGCCATATTTTGCAAACGAATTGAATAAACATCGCGCGGAAAGATATCGAGAACGTTCATCAGGTTTGTTATGTCATTTTGTAAACGAATCTGTTTGAACAAGCGGTATAATTGGAGAGAATTTTAAGCAGATCTGAAAAGCCTAGAATTTTTCAAGACACGGTGACCATGAATAAAACACTTTTATTTCATGAAACATTCATGAGAATATGATTCTACGCCTTGGCAAGAGATAAGTAGATTTTTTAAACGCTTCCAGTTTTTGTCAAAAAATGCCTCGAATTATACGAATATCATCGAAACCGAAAGAAAATATAGATTCCGAGGAAATTTCCAAAACAGCTCGAAAAGTTACTTCGACTCGGTTTAAAAAAAGAAGCAGTTCACGTGTCTCGACACGAGTTAAAAAAACAAGAATGCCTGTTTCGCGGACGTTCGCGAATCTTGTCATACATATTTTTAATACACCTGTGTGTGCACAAGTGTCTTGGTCGCAGATTTCCGGCCGCCCGTAGCTGAGGTAAAATACGTCGCGCAACGCGTTTGATTTACCTGTACACGCGTCTTCCATTATCCATGGCTAAAGATTTAATTAACCCGCATTAACGACGATCCTTCGTGACGTCCGTCGTATATTCGTATACTCGACAAACAACCGAACCGTTATTATTTTTCGAACACGATAGAAAATGTTCGTTCAGACCCAACACGAACTTCCTTCTTCGTAATAAGCCCAATTACATTTAATTTAAAACGTGCGCCACCAACACGAAAGTGTTCGTCCATTGTTAACCGTACACAATGCAATTGGTTGATGTATAATTAAGAAAGTATGCTAATTAGTTTATTGCAATAACGGAGTAGGCATTGCAGATGTATCTGTTTCGTAATACTTCAAATTTGGGAAAATTTAAGAACAGTGAACTCAGAAATTTGCTTTTGGAAAAGAAAAAGACAAGTTTGATTTGTATTTGAATCATGTAATGACGAATCTAATGATTTTTGTTGCAGGTGTTTGTGTTCCTCCTCTCGTTTCTCGTTACGCTGCAACAAGCACTTAGTTCAGGTTACATTAATTCTGTGATTACGACAATTGAGAAGAGGTTCGAAATCCCGTCCAGCCTTTCAGGCGTCATTGCAAGCTCCTACGAAATCGGAAATGTCATCACCGTCATTTTCGTCAGCTATCTAGGTAGCCGCAGGCATATACCTGTTTGGATAGCTATTGGTAAGCGAATCGATGTATTAATAATTCATAATTATACTATTCCAAAAGAGGACATCTTTATAGAAAAATTAGAAGTATAGGAGTATCGTATTTATAGAAAGTTGAATATTGCATACCGGTTGTTTCAGGCGCTGTTATAATGGGACTGGGATCGATGATCTTTATGGTGCCACATTTCACTGCTGAACCCAATTTGATGACGGCCGCAAATAACTCCAGTTCTGATAATATTTGTCGCGGAGTCTCGTTGCGTGAACAGGACATGGGATTGGGTAAATTTTTCAGTGTAGTACTGTACCTATCAATCCTTAAACTGAGGTCAATAATAGCTTAGGTCTATCAAAAATAGTCGTAGCAGGTCTAAAGTTAATCGCACAAATTTTGTAACGGATCAATATGTACATTGTCAGTACCTCAGAGTGCTCGATAATTTTATCATTTATATACAATTCCGAATGTCTTATAAATTGCATTTTTGTTCGACGTTAAAACTGAAGAACCTATTTTCATAGGTCGTTTATCGTCTGGATTATCATCTCCTCCTCTGGGTCCGCATAACAATTTAAGAGGTGATAATTGCATTCAAGGATCTCCATCTACAGCTGGCCCTGTTATGTTATTTGTACTTGCTCAGTTATTATTAGGCTGTGGTGGTTCTCCTTTGTTTACCCTTGGTACCACTTACATAGACGATCATGTTCGACCAGAAAGTGCTTCTTTGTATATTGGTAAGAATATGTTATTTAAAAATATTAACAGTTCGCGAACAGTATTAAATAACACCATCAATTTCTTGGTTCTAGGTTGTATGTACAGTATGGCAGCTTTTGGGCCAGTTTTAGGTTTCCTTCTTGGAGCTTATTTGTTATCGTTTCACATGGATTCTTTTTCTGGAACTATCATCAGCATAGGTAATTAAGAAAATAAACTTCTATTTTGTAAGAACTTGTTTTTAATCACTTTCATGCGTGTAGATCCAGGTGATCATAGATGGGTTGGCATGTGGTGGGGAGGATTCCTTCTTTGCGGTTTACTCCTGATTTTGGTGGCAATCCCCTTCTTCAGTTTTCCAAAAACCCTGCAACGAGAAAAGGAAAAAATACGAATCATCGAAAAAACAAAATCGGCGTCGCAAAAAGAGAAGGAACCATGCAAAGAACCGAAAAAGGAGAAACTCGATGATAGTGGTTACGGCAAAGATGTAAAAGGTACAAACGAATCACCTCGATAGCAACGTTACTACCGAGACACCGCGTATAATCTCTATTCGAACGACTCAAAATTTCATTTGAATTTTCAAAGGAGACTCGAACCATTCCCTTTTCAGATATTCCTAGAAGTATGTGGAGGCTCGTGTGCAATCCAGTATACGTGGTAACGTGTTTGGGAGCATGCATGGAGCTGGTGATTGTCTCTGGCTTCGTAGTTTTTCTCCCAAAGTACCTGGAGACACAGTTCAGCCTGGGAAAGAGTCAAGCCAGTGTGTTCACCGGCTCGATAGCGATACCGGGTGCCTGCATCGGAATCTTCTTCGGCGGATGTTTGCTCAAACGTTTAGAATTAAGACCAAAGGGAGCGGTTCAGTTCGTTCTCGTATCGAACATCATTTGCTTGGTGTGCTATGGCCTCCTCTTTTTCCTTGGTTGTGACAACGTGAAGATGGCTGGGACCACTATTCCGTACTTTAACAGCAGCACGAAGGGCCCGGAGCCCTTTCAAGTAAATCTCACTGCCGCATGCAACTTTGGTTGCGAATGTCGAATGACAGACGTCGAACCGGTCTGTGGAAATAACGGTCTCACGTATTTCAGCCCTTGTCATGCAGGCTGCACTGCCTTTAGCTCGAAATCGAATTTCACTAATTGTGCATGTAAGTTCAGTGTTGTTGCTGAAGGCTCTTTTTGTGAATTATATGTCCAGGTGGTTTATGCTCTATGCATTTCTGTTCCAGGTATACATGGAAATTTAACATTATTGCCTCCTGCAGCCCCAGAATTCGCAGAAGTTACGGTAGTGCCGGTAGCTACTGCTGGTCCTTGCACTTCACCATGCAGAACTATATTTCCTTTCTTAATCTTACTTTTCTTTATGACGTTTATCGTTGCTATCACTCAGATGCCTCTATTAATGATAGTGTTGCGGTTAGTTTCAATTTTATTCCTCTTATTCAAAATTGTACATCATTTTATATCACTTTTAATATTCCCTTTCGACACAGGTCAGTCTCGGAAGAAGAGAGATCGTTCGCTTTGGGCATGCAATTCGTAATCTTCCGACTATTCGGTTACATACCCGCTCCTATTTTATTCGGTAACTTAATTGACTCTACGTGCTTATTGTGGAAAAGCACCTGTGGAGAAAAAGGCGGTCGGTGTCTTCTTTACGACATCGAGCAATTTAGATATAGGTACAGTGTTTATCGTTATAAATTTCTAGGAAGCAATTGAACTCGATAAATATATTAAACGATTCGTTAATCTTTTCAGATATGTTGGACTTTGTGCTGGCATTAAGATTTTAGCTTTGGCTTTGTTCCTTATTGATTGGTGGTTGGTTAGGAGGAGAAGACAAATGGAAGACCAAGCGCCGTCTTTCACTGTTAACGAGTTTGTAGGGTCAATTATCAGTCTTGACAAATGTGAGTATGCCTTTTTTGCACTAGATAATTTTATCTAGCTCTTAATTCACACAATAGACTGATTTATTACAAGTCCTAAATCACGACCAAGTTATAAGTCAAAGATATTTATTTGCCAATTAGTGAGATAAGCTTAAATATTTCACTTTTTCTAATTAAACTTCTATACTAATTTTTCAACCTTCTTTTAAAATCAAAGAACATCCGCTATTAAAATTTACTTTTAATAATAGTAGCGAACATTTGGTCACGTTGAAAGTATAATGAGATCCATTTCAAGCTCTGTGATCTACTAAATGTTGAAATCTGAAATGTTCCACACACTGTTGTACCGAGGTGCTCATATATCCGCTGACAAAAGACTCTTCTGTTGACACTCATGTCAGAGAGCTCTTGTACATGAAAGAGCTTCAAGACCCCCTACGTGTCACGTATTACCATATTATTTATCCTGAAATGTTGCAGTGTTTGAAGAAAAACCACACCATCACAATACAGGAGACGGTGACGGTGTTACTCCTAATTCGGAATTACACACACCGTCATCGATCTCGTCACCAACGGAGCCTACGAAATCGACGAACCTGGAAGAGACTAGCTCGTCGAATCAAACGCAGGATTCGACGGAGACAGCGAATCGATCGAAGAACGCGACGATTGTTGATGTTCCCGACACGAGGCAAGCACCTCTTGCCATAGAAGAGCCAGATACGGAGGTGAAACCACTGACTGCTGGACAAACGGAAAAACTTGTACGGAACGTTTAATGTTTATCTCGCGTTAGTGGCTATGCAATTGAATATATCAAAGTGGTGATAACACGAGTCTGTGGCTAATTGTTTTCAGGTGAACTATCTATACGTGTTAAATAGATAATGATCATGAGTTATAGAGGTGATGGACATTTTCCAAACTTCTTACAGTTAAAGGTCCAACTATGGTCTAATTCTGTGTACGCTACTTGTTCACAGGATAAAAGATTCTTTATAACGACATGCTAACAATAAGTCATCTTCTGTACAAGAATGAAGTGTGAATTTGATAGAGTTTTAACGATTCTCAGTTACAAGGTGGTCTTATTTTAATTATGACACGGTTAAGTTTGAACTGTATCTCTGAATACCGTTCACCGAATTTAGAATCGCTAAAGGCGAGCTAAATACTACATATCAATTTTCTTCGTCGGTTCAATCACACAAGCAGTAAGTAGATAAATGTAGAAGCTACCACGAAAACTCATAAATAGGATGCGAATGTTTATACATTTATGATATCTCAATCTCTCTTCACAAAATATCGGAATCCACAGTCAGTTTGTATCGTAAATAAATATACATTCACAGTCGAATCATAAGGCAGGAGGAAGGTTAAAGAAATACCTTTGCCTATTTATTTTAGAATTCTTCGTGTTTACATCCAATATTTTCATACTATCTTCTCTAAGTAAGTGACAGTAGTGTTTCTTGTGGATGGGGTTTTTTTATTGCATGACCCCTTACAGCTCTATACTATAAAGTAGAATAAAGTAGTATAATAAAGTCTATACTATAAAGCCTATAAAGTCTATAGTATCGTAGGAAACTGAAATAGAGCCACTTTGTAACTTTGTATCATTAAAATTCCGCATAATTATAATAGTTTCCTTTACAGAATCTCAGTTCCTTCAGAATCTATTATCCTTTGAAGAATAGAATAAGTGAAGTTAGTCTATACTTGGAGCTTCAACTTTCAGGGTCTTCGTTACTTTTATAGCTGAGTTCTCTCATAAATTATAGACAATGTGCAATATCGCCCCTATAAGTCATAACCATTATTTTCTTAACACCTTGTACAACGTACGTTTATTATTAACCCTTTGCAATTTGACTTTTTTAAATAGCAGAATTCACTTATTCTGTAAACTTCGTTAATTTATTCTAATATAATTATTGCAGTGAATACAAATTATAAGATAATACAAGTTTGCATTTTTACTAAATCTTTCACGAATTTACATATATTTTAGACTGTGGTATTAAATTTGCACTTAAAAGTCACAGTTGAGTCACGAAGAGTTAAACATTTTGACACTAAAATCAGTCCCGCTGCTTAAAGATTGTGGGATTCGAGGCTAAAATAAAATAAGTATTATTGAAAATATTTACAGTATTACCACGCGTTATATTGCCACGTGTTATGTCGCCACGCGTTTGAAAATTTCTAAAGTTCACTGCCTAAAATAATTGCTTTTTCGATTATCTTGGAAGGATATTTAAATCAAGATACTGCACTAATATTACGTATGCCTAAGAACTGTGTTTAAAATGCAAAGGGTTGATTTGTACTATTTTAAACAGTAAAGAGAATGAAATATTATAACTTTGAATAAAATGATGGTTGAGTGATTCGTATACACACGTATGGTGCTAATAATACTTTTTTAACGAGTTCGAAGAATAAAGAATTATCTCATATCGTTCCGTATACTATCAGATACAGATTTAAATTACGTTGAAGATATTAAGTGAATCGTCTATTCTTGCATACACTTGGCGTGACCGAAAATATTTTTACAGCGGTTCTATTTGCGTGAAAGACAACACTGTTTTAACGTATGTACAAAATGATTCGCCACAGACTTGTCTTCTATGGTTTGGCTATTTTTTAGGAACTAATATCACTAGGGTGTACATTTTTACGGTGATGCGATATATATGTCAATAAGTAGGAACTTAAATAGGTGAATTAATAGCTCGTTTCTGTCAGGCAACTTGAAATCGACTTAACAAAAAAGGGAATACTAAAGTTCGCTCTGTGAAACGACTTTCAATGAAACGAGCATTTGCACGGTTTAATACGAACGAAACATAGAGAAAGAGAACCTAGGAAAGGAATGGCCAACAAGGACAAACTGAAGAAAAAAGATACACTGTAAATATAAAAATTCCTGCCTTAAGAAATACAAGACTAGACAAACGTATATTTAAAAAATATATATATAACTGATTAAGCGGATAGATTTAACGATCTATGATAAATATGAATATCATTAATTGCAGATCGAGAGCTGCGATTTATTTTATAACTAGCGTTAGGCTTTCTCATGAAAAAGAAGTAGTCAATTTAACGTGTAGCGATGTAATACAGAAAAAAGAAACAAAAGAAAAAAAAGAAGTTAACACGAACGACGATCGTAAGAATAACTCGTTAACTCGTTTACAAAATACTTTTGACACGATGCAATAGCCGTACGTTTTTATTCTTCGCAGACAGAATGTTATCGTAACGAAATCACGCTTTTATTCTTTTTTTAACGAAGCGACACATGATCTCTAACGTTTGTTTCCTTCTGAGATGATGTATCAACGACACGATATAAACTTAAGAGCTTTCAGAACTTGAAGCGTATTTATGAAAAGCGTTTAAGCGATTTGTTTTCGTCGCAACGTTTGTTGTATACACTTCGTGTCCTCTGCGTAGGAATGAATTATGCTTCCAAGCTAAGAAACGAAAGAATGTAGAGAAAAAAAAATGATTGCAATGGAGTTTAGCTATATGGCTCTGAATGAGGCTCTATAGTAAATGTCAATTTAGAATTACAACTAATTAACCTGTAAATTTCTAAATTTCCAAACTTCGAAATTCTTGAATCTCCATATTTCTAGATCCTCAGATTTTCAACGGGCCATATAAACGCGAGCCATGTAGCGGGACTGCACTGTACCGAGTTTTGTTGAAACAAACGGTAGCTCGACGAAATCATAGGGTCAATTTGGAAATCCGACTTTACACTGTTAACTCGGCTCGTTGTGTAGGGAGAGTCTACTTGTTGTTTTGTACCTGAAAGCCTCTCGTATCAATTTCGATGGTAACAAAAGATGAAACGATGAAAGAAACTATATAAAAAAAAACTCACTCAGGAAAATGAAATTCTATAGGGTGTAAGGGCACCTTTGATTCAATGGAAAGATATATAGAGAAGAGACACGAGTAATCAGTGCAAAAAAATAAAAAATGGAATCCTAGCTTAAGAGAGATAATTAACAAAGAAAAAAAAACAAAAAGAAAATATAATGTTACTCCTATCAGCTCAATTTTGTTTTAAAAGTATGAAAGCAAAATAACGTTGAAATTTTACAAGATGAACGCGTTTTAAACAGATTGATAAATAATTCTTATAAGAGAACTCTATTTGCATGAAATCGATGATTTAGACCGTTTTTCTCAGTCGCTTCGGGTATGAAATCGTTTTTCAAGATAAATATAAATATATATATACATATGCTTATATTAGAACGAAGTGAAGAGAAAGATAGGTAATTATATGTAATATGGTAAACCTCGACGAGTTCAGTGATGTTATTATATGTTATAAATGTGATTGACAAATGATTTTATCTACTCGATAGAAATTTGGTAATTGGAAAATTTGAAAGGTTCGGAATCTAGTAATTTCAAATTTTCAAATTAAGAAATTAACTACCTGTTATGTACGAATAAAATTATTTTGTAAACTGACTTTTATAACATCTGCGAAAGTCACTGAAATCAACGAGGTTTCCCTATTGTACAATTACTGAAACGAAAACTAACGGAAAAAACATAGTCTTAATTTTACACGGTCTCGATAAACTATATGCTAAAGTTGTCACAGCATTTACTTACGTTTAAACACTTACCCCTATGTACGAATATATCTCGCACGCTGTTTAACCCGCGTCACTGTCAATTTTTCAAATGTGTAGTCACACGCTACTCTCTCTCTCTATACATATATATGTATATATATATTTTAGAGGGAAATTTTGATGTTCGAATGACGGTGAAACGTCCGCAGAGTCGATCGTTCGAAACATTTTAAGAGGCCGTGATGATCTCTCCTAAACCGCGTATTGTGAAGAACTTATATTATATATGTATACATAACTACTTTGTGATATAAAACAAAGTCGAACGATAGACTGTGTCGGACGGACGTAGAAGACTCTGGAGAGAAACGTGAGGGGAAAATGTGCTGTGAATAATAGAAATGGAAATTATGAAAGAAAGAAAGTGAAAAATGAATACGCGTCGAATCAAATTTCATTTGTAATTTAAGGCTGATTTATATTATTTATTCGAAGTAAGCGTTTCTACTAAAATACATACAACTACCAGTTCCTTTTAATTCACTACATTTGATAAAAATTTGATTCAGAACGAACGTCAGGTTTCTTGCGCCAATTTTATATCGTTCAATATTTTTATACGAGTTTAGAAAAATTCTACAACAATTTTTTTCGATAGATCGTCAACTAAACTAGTACATATTTGACGTTTTTATTAAATAGATTATTATTTGTAATACACGATACAAACGTGGAAAAATAACTCGTCTGAAAGAATACTATAAATCAGCTTTGAAACGTTGTTTTGTTGAGCGACGAGGAGGGATGTCAATTGTTCACGTCATCCACCGCAACTGTACATAAAAAAGTAGTTAGAACGGTTTATATCGAGCAAACTGGGGATGAAGGAACACGCGTTACGTGTAAAGTACGCGTATTAATTAGGTCCTAATTGTTAGGAGTTTACGTGATTGTTAAACGAGCGATCACGATCTTCTGTTTCTGCAAGAATATTTTTGCGTTAAAGGGGAACGAACGATTCACTCGCGTTCCGCACAATTTTTCGATCATGTTACTTAAATAATTTTTTTTACGAATGATTTTCTCGGTATTATACATTTCGTAGCGAATCATGCGTGCGTGTAAGAACATTTTTCTTTTTATCAATTTACCAAACGCGTCCCGTGTCGGATTGATTATCAATCGTTTGATACTGTCGATCATTTTTTCGATTTACTTTTAAAGCAAAGAGCAAGTAAAACATATTATAATTATAATTTTATTATAATCAAGCATTATGATGTAATTATTAATGCGGATTTGCCATGAATCTTTAATTGTACATGACACGGAACTCGATCATGCCAATATCTATTCTCAATTTCATTTATACATCATTGTTTCTATTATTATTATTACTATTATTATTATTATTATTATTATTACTATATTATCATAAATATCATAGCGCTTTGACTATCAGTTATACTAGTATACTCATCGTTAATTAGTTTAATTCCGTTTATTTGTAGCCTATTAAATATTTAGTCGGGAACGATTGTTTCTGTTTCTTTTTCCTTTTTCTTTTTTTTGGTTATAGGATTTAATTTATTGTACACTCGGATGCAACGTAGGCTTCTTTTAGTTAAGAGTAAGAGGAGAAATTTTAGGGAAAATTCTGGGTGAATCCTACGAGTACCGTAGAAGATCCTAAAAAGAGAACCCTGGGAAAGTTGTAGAAAGTCTTGAAAAACCCCTAGGACATTCTTGAAAGAATCCTAAAAGAACGTTAGGGAGGCCCAAGAAACGATTCTTGCAGAATTCTAGAAGAATCTAAAGAGAGCCTAATCTAGCAACTTGTCGAACAAAATGGCGGCAGTTGAGTCACCTGTTCTCTTACAATTCTTATCAATTAAAGGAAGCCTAATTTGTACGTGACCGTACGTAAAACACATTCCCAAGCCACAGTTAAAAGGAGCAGAAGCGAAAAGATAAAACAAACAAAAAAAAGAAAAGAAAGAAGATATATAACAGAGTTTAGAGAGGATTGCGTTTAAAGTATTAGGTAGGAAGTTCGAAAATTATAGCGACGAGAATTAAATTAAAGAATGTTGTGTACATAGATATTGACTATTGTATATGATTAATATAAACCGCTTATAGATGTAATGTATTTTTTGTAGGGACCATAATATATAAACAGAACAATATGAGACATGTTAGAATGGTACCGATAAGGGTGATACAAGTACGATTAGGGCGATGTTTCGTGAATTAAGAAAAGCAATACGCGTTTGCTTGCGGGAGGAGCTGAGCGTGAAGAGAAGAGTGTCCTGAAAATTATGAATTCAGAGATATATTGTACAAGCTCACTAAACAAAATTCTAGGTACACGATATCGAGTGTTTTCGAGTCTGCGATCGGCGATAAACAGTTACATTTTCTTTGTGAAATTCTCAGGAAAGACCTGGTTATCTTTGTGTTCTTTAACACGGTCTTAACTGTGTCTTCTCTGCGAATCGAATAATTTCTTTAAGAACATTGAAGTTAATTGCCGTTCAAGGCTGCTTGCGAACGAGGCCATTAATGGAAATCATTGTAAATTAACGTGGTTTAATTGTTCTGTTGTACTAAGATTGTTTCTCGTTTATTTAACATTTTAAAGTTTGTATAGTTTATAGTCTTAAATTTCTTTATTTAATGGAAAACATTACAGTATAGTAACTAAATAATATTGTACATTCGGGAGAGACAGCGATAAAGATAATTTGAACGTTTCTAAAGTTTTCGATTCAAAGACAACTTTGGTAGAAGAAAAACAGCCTTGAACGTGAAATTCATCTTCGAACCGTTAACGAATGAAATTCCTAGGAAGAGATACTTCATTTACAAAGTTATAGAATATAAGTAGTTTCATATTCGCAGGACTACAGTTGGTCCCAAAATAGTAAAATGAATTATGTTGAAGCGTCAGTGACGACTGAAAGCATTTTAGTCCGACTCCAGCAGTTTATAATGCGATGCCATTTCATACAACACAAACAAACAAACAAGCACCCACATGTACACAGTCGTATACACCGTACGTCACTTTGTTACGATTATTGTATATCGAATATTGTACGAATTCTCACAAAATGAGATCGCTTAAATTTAATCGACGAGAGCAAATCACCTGATCGATGTGTTCGTTCATCGAGGAGAAACGATCATTTTGAATGAAATTCAAATTGATGGAAAAAATCACATCGATCTCGTTGTTGATCAGTGTAACACTCGAAATAATATGCCTTAAAAAAAGAAATGTAATTCATAAGGATCGCTGATGATGGTACAAGTGGCGAGCGGAAATCAATGGTGACGGACGATCGTAATTTGCGGAGACAGAGAAATATATATAATATATATATATATATATACATATATGCATATATATGTATACATATATAAAATCATGTTAGGTATAAGTAAATCTCGTATCGTCGATTGATTTATCGTTTACTCGATAATTTTTAAACTCTTGCATAGAAAGTATGCTGTGCGTGCGTGAACGAAAAGACACACCGTGTTTCGTTTCGTTTTTAGGCAGAACATTCATGTTTTCGTATCGACGCGTGCGAATCTCTTCCTTAGGTTCGAGAACGAACACCGGGTGAATCGTTAAAATAGTTTTTATTTCATTCTTCTTCTTTTTCTTTGACCCGGAGATGGAAAAAACGACGAGCGTCGTCTTTTGCTCATTCCGCTGGGTTCAAAACTTAACTTTTTTTCCTCTCTCAGAAGTAAGGCACAAACAATGTATTTACAATGAATAAATGTTTTGAAAACTGTTACATCGCGCCTGTTCATTTTTTGCTAAATGAACTCACATCTAAAATATTTCTGAAGAATTTCCAAATTACCAACTTTCATCTTGTCTGCATTCCCTGAATCCAAAATGTTCAAACTTATAGATTCCTAGAATATCAGTTTCTTAGAAATTCATTTTAGAAAACATTTTAACACGATTGGCACTGTTTTCTTTCGAAAAGATTACCATACCGTGTAGTTGAATCATATCTATAAAAAACAATGTCAATTTGAAACGGTATATCCTTCAAAAAGTTATTTTCTAAAATTGTCCCTATTTCTGTAAAACTTGTTCGATCTTTGTACGCTGTTCATTAGACGCGCCTTGTACGGACGACCTACGTCAAACAAATAAAAATAGCCAGGTTCGCGCACGTGTCGTCGTATAATAAATTATCCGGGGCGTCAAAAGGCGCGAAATTTAATTGAATGAACTCGCATTCGACGCATTCACCCTTAGAAATACTGCGCTGCGTGAAAGGTCAGTGTAATTTACGTAATATCCAAGGGTAACATTTTTCTAGCACTGTAATAGGTCCAAGTACACTTTCAGTAGTCACGAAGTCGATATGGAGATAACTGTACAAAGTGCTTTTTATTTCTGAAATATCGAATTTTTAATTTTTCGAAATCCCAAGTATCAACGTTTCTAAAGGTTCCTTATTCGTCCCTGTTATAAAACAACACGCTATTCATGAAACCGGAAAATCTAGTTATACTTGGACAAAAATTTTAATGACACAAATATGCAATATTATCCTTAATATTCGTCTTAGTAACAGTGGTGGAGTTTTCACGAGCGTCGTAGCGAACAAATTTTACTAGATGAACGAAAAACAAAACGAAAATGGTATTTCGAAACGTTCTTCGTCGCGAAATTAGCATCCAATCTCCATACCACCGTTCAAATGTTACGCGCCACTATCCTTCGACCAATCGCGCGTCCGTACGACGTAGCCACCTCGCGGCCTTGTTCGGCCACTTCCGTCAGTTGTCCACAGGCTTCTTTGGCGTGCGGACGTACGCGAGTGTTCAGTGTGTTCTGTCAGCTACGGAGTCGCGTTTTCGCTAACGAACGCCCTACCGTACCTTCCATATTCAATGTGTATGGCGATTAAGGTGAGTGTGGAAACGAACCACTTATTATAGAAAGTCGAATCGACCTTCGAATACGTGTTTTTGCATCGAGTGTCCAACCGTTGGCGAGAAAAGTCGATCGTTGCATTCGCGGCTGCCGTCGCGTTACACGCGCGTGTCCTTCGTTTGGCTGCGTGCTTCTCCCCGTACATACACATATATATACTCGCATTAGGTGTGTTGGTCGGTTTGCGACCTCATGCGTGTCCGTGTGTGTGCGTATATGGGCGCGCGCGCCTTTGCGTGCACGAATCGGCCCCTCGAAATGCGTGTGTGCGCGGACGACGAACTCTGGCGTCCCGTCGAAACCCGCCGCCACCGTAGTTCGCTCGTTCGTCCCTTCGTTTCGAAATAAAATATCCCTACGCATCGGTGCTCGGTAGGACGAGTTGTTTTCCGAAGGAAACTTTCACGCTAGGGTCGCGTCTGCATTGTTCTACAGCGACGAGCCGCGTATTCCGCGAACGGTTCCGGACGACATGGCATGCCATGCGCCGAAAGGCTTCGACTATGATGGAGCAGACCCGCATTCCTTCGCCCGAGGAGACTGAAAACGCGTTTCGTTGGCCGTGTAAGGAATGACAGACGGTCGAGAGCTGTCAACCGAAACAACGGACGCAGACACGCGGAGTGCACGCCATGGCCACGCGTGTTTCTGTTTTGCAACGCGTCGTGTGCGCTTCTGTATAACGCATCGCGGATATCGCGTTTACAACGGATCGGTCAAGAGTGGTTGTAACGTTGGTAACAAGTGGCAACAGTTAGTCTTTTTTTCCCTTGTGGGTGTCGTTTTTTGAAGTACCTACCGTGATGGGCAGGTCAGGTGTTGGTCGGTGAGGCTTTGGTAGCGGTAGATTTTGCACCATACTGTTTTCGACGACTAGGATACATCGCTCGTAGATTACGACAGTAAATTCTTATTATATTGCCAGTTGGACGAGTTTACCAACACGTGGACTTTCATCTACACAGTGGCGCTCCCAACTATCGTAACGCGTGGAGATACGGGCAGATTTCAAATTGTTAACTTTTCTAAGTTTTTAAATATTCACATTTGTAAACTTTCAATCGCTCTCCATGAACCATGAAAATATAATAAAAGTTTATTGCACCCGTCTGAATATCATAATACGATCGTTACGATAGAATCAAATATTTCCTACAGTCATCACAGGAATATGAATTTTGAACGTTCGTCCAACTTGTAATTTAACTTCGTTTAACATAACCTCGCACAGACAGATTTAACCTAACACAACATTATTGTATCTTTGTTCGTTATGTTAGGTTAATTCGTCTCTACTTATCTCGTGTTACGATTAAGACTGGGTTAAGTTGGTTTTACTCGTAATAAGTAACTATTAGGTTAGGGCTACTCGTATTCAATTAGATAAAATTTAGTATTTATAGTCGAATAGTTGAAGCATCGAGATAGAAATAACATATTTGGTTCGCGATGTGATAAGGCGATCCACAATGATCGATCGTGGGCACACCCGTTTCACGGTGAAATTGAATCGCTTTGAACCGCCTTGCTGTCCTGCTACAGGAGCACACTGACGTCATTGTTTCCTTCCGCGCGAATTAACATGGCAGAATTTCGCGAGTTTAAATTCGAGCGTGTTATGAAGTTGAAAAAGAAAAGAAACTTTTTAACGACGCGTGCACTTATACTTGTTACAAAATTTGTGATATAGAGTTACGATGATTTGAATCCGAATACCGGAATATTTTAATCTAGCAACGTTGAAACATTAGTCGGTTACGATTCTACGATTTTGTAATCGATTCGCATGAGAAACGTTGTTCGACGTTTAATTAATCGCAATCGGTAGAATGATTTTTTCGTGTCGGTTACATTTACCATTTTGTTTCGTGCGATTGATGTAAACGGATGTAGGGAAATGCAACACCAACTTGCGAACAACATTTTTTGTTTACGAAACCAGATGATATTTCAACCATCGCAGTTAACCGCATCCTAACTACATGGACGAAAGGCTTTGCAATAGTTGCACGAGGTGTAAGCAGTCTTGTAATAATGCGATTCGTGTTTATCGCTCTCTGGTTGACGTCAATCGACGCACGCATAAACTTGCGGTTCGTAAAAATAATTTTTACTAGAATCTTCTAAAATCTTAACGCTTCAAATACGAGGAAAAATTTTCGAATTTTAACCGAGTATAATATTTATTTGTCGTATATATAATCTGCTATGAAAATGTTTGTTTGTTGCGTCATGTATTCTGATACGAAACGGAACGAAGGTATTGAAACACCCTTTGATTGCAACAAGTGTGTCATTACCTTGTATGGTCCAATTACAAGGAGAAAAAAGACAGCGTGACGTTCGATTTGCGACACTCGTGGATGGCTGTTCGAAATAATTGCAAATTAATGGACTGCGGAACAGTTGAAAGATGCACGCACGACCTTGCGTCACTTGACGTCATTCGACCGGCGAACGCGTTGGGGACCATAAATGTATTTTAATTTATTATAACTCGGTGTCGAGATCGCGACATTTTTAAGCGAATTGCCGAAATCAAGTCGATCGATTTCGGTAGTTCGGTGCTCGCTCGATTTCGGTAAACGTGGCAGGAAATACAAATATCCCCAGATATTCGAGCTTGACATTACCGAACGGACAATCGATTTCGATTTCTCGATCATTTGAATGAACAGGAAGTTTCATTGAAATGCATTTTCGCTCGGTACGATAGCGATACAACGTGAGTCATTTTCCAGAGTGACGCAAAACCGTGACATTGGTTAATCTGATAATTTCGAAGCAACCGATACATCTACGTACATATTCGCTCCTCATTTTTACGCGATAAACATTTCTTGTTAATGTCGTATCGATATCGAATAATTAAAATAAAATATCCTCGAATAGTTAATTAGCGAAGAGTTAATTTTTCCACGAAGTTTATTTAATTGCAAGCTACAAACGCAAGTTCGGAGAATTAATGTTCCTCGGCTTCGTATGACACAGAGCATGATTTTTCTGAATAGAAATCTTATTATCCCTTTGCCGTCTCGCTTTACAAGACCACGTGCGCATCTAGTTTACGCGGGACATCGAATTACGGCCTCGTCGTATTTCACTTATGTGATGCTTATTAAATTCAGCACACGTCACTGGATCTTTTGCATCTCATTGTCTCGACCGTCATAATCCATCGTGAACAATTACCATTCGAAAGAGTTACCTCATTCTTCAGTTACCATTCGAACAAACATTTTTCTGCGCGTTTCGAGCGAAATAATTAAAACGTTGATACGGCCAAACTATTACTGTATCGTCTTCGTAACTATAGATAGACCACCGTCCTAGTCGGTTCGCTTCCTCTCTTTTTTCTATAAATCGCGATTTTTGCGGAGGGAACTAAAAGTCGGAGCGTAAACGGGGTTGCGAGATACGCAGACTATCGATCGACATTCACTCGATTGTTTCGCGAGTGTTTTCTAAACGCCCCCTTTGTTTCACCTCTCAGGGTATTGTTCTTTGTTGCCGATACATAACTGCTCGTTACCATTGCGAGTAAAACGCGTGTCACGTAGATATTTACACGCTCGTTCGTTACGTTTCGCGTAACCCGTCTCCCACAAAAATTCACAATTTTTTCGAACACGATCCACAGAATTTTTTACGATATCCTTCCGACTGAACGACTGTCCGTGACGCGTTTCGATGCGGAAGATCGATCGAATAAAAAACGAGTAATTCGGTTAAAGTTTTATCAAGAACTCGTTCTTTGTTGAAACTGTACCGCGAACTTTAAATCAGGAGATTTAGTTAGCCGTCTCGCATGATCCCTTTTAGTTTCAAGGTAGCCTTGCG